AGTTACACATGCATATTTAAAATAACATTATATACAATAATACCTTAATACAAAATATTGCTTTCCCCCCCATTCTTACAAGTCAAGTAACAATTTTATTCCATCTCTACATGCATCTTGGACATCAATATCTTCATCATATCCAGAGCCTCTTTCTTCAAATATATATCTTTCGATTGCATCTAAGTTGTCTGAGATGCAGCATTTAAGAATACTTGTCTGACATTGTCATTGGAAAGTTTGATCCAAGTCACCACAATAGGACAGTTCTCCCCCCCCCTCAACTTATCATGTAGGTGCAAGTTTATAATCCTTACAACAAAAGTATTCACTTATTGCTTTTGAAGTTGCTCTTTGAAAGGCTGGTTTACAAAACCTAACTCTTGTAATAGTGAGGGCACACTCCTGGAATGATTACGAAGGTTCTTCCCACCTCTCTTTTCACCCATTCCAGTAGGAGTCTATGACGTTTCTTGCATCGTTGGTGGTTATGGTGGGCTAAAATATGAGGAGAGACCAACCAGAGGTAGTAGAGCAGTTGCAGGAGATAACAAGACCTAGTTACGGGTGAGACTGAAGAGTAAAATACGTTCTTGAGAACGAAGAAGGCCAAAGAGCTCTAAGCTGGGTTGCCAGGTGGATCATTATCATGGACAGTCAAGTGTCTTGGGGGTGGGAATGAAGCAGTGATGCATCAAGGACTTGGAGAAACATAGCTGGGAGTGTCCTGGAGCCAGGTAGGGGCACCTCCCCACATGGCAATGGAGGATGTGGAGCAAGGATATGGGAACAGCACTGGCCAGCAGGGGGCAGTCATGCCAATATGCCAATATGGAGTCCGGGTCCAGTTGTCGGGGACGGGGGTGTGTCGGGACTGGGAAGACAGGGTATCTTGAGGCAAGAGATACATGCAGAATGGACACGCTCTGGAGGAAGACTGTGATGATCAGGAAGTCCGTGAATCACAAAGAGGGGTCCACCTAGACTGCCCCCAACAGGTTTCTCATGCTCTCCCGTAACACTCATCGCATGCATAGTCATTGTTTTCTAGACTGCAAGGAGGACAGGCAGTATGTGTGTTCTGGGGACTGCTGTACCCCAAGTAAGTAGAAGAGGCATATAACAAGTGCCCAGGAAATATGTGCTGAAGGAAGAAACGGGGAGGGAGATGAAGAGGGGCAGAAAGGAAGAACAAGGTACCAGTGTCCTGTGGGAGGGACTTAAAAAGAACAGCAAGGGAGATAGGTCAGGAAAGGCATGGTCAAGACCTTAGAGGGCAGCTGGCATCAAGGAGCTGGGGGACACAGTGGAAAGAAATGGACCAGACAGGGATTGCACCCAAGATTCCACTGGGGCCTTGGGTGTGATCCCAACAGCCCGAAGTCTCAGCCCTGGAGGAACATGTCAGGAGCACTGCGCCGGCAAAGGCACCGGGCACAGGGTGGGCAGAAAGTGGGGAAGGAGACCGTGGGGCTGAGACTAGCCTGTGGCTTCTTCTAAGTCTTACCCCAGCCGGAGACACTTGCCTCGATGGTCTCAGACCTGCTCAGTGACTGAGACAGTCGGGCGGCGTTTGGGTGTTTGTTCCTGGCGTTAACATCTGAATGCTAATAAAGGATACATGTGCTTGTTTTAGCGACTCACGAGTAATAAGCCTCAAATTCCATTTCTGTGTAGCATGGGCATTTCCAATAAAAGCAAATTAAAATATTCAGTTCCCAATTTACAGGAACGATTGGAAGGCAGTGATTCTCAAGTCTGGTCTCTGATTCTCTGGTCTGGTCTCAAAAGCAGCAGTAGCATCACCTGGAAATGTGTTAAAAATGCTAATTCTCAGCCCTTACCCCAGACCGATTAAATCAGAACTGGGGTTAGGCCCAGAAATCCATGGTTTAACAAGTTTCTCCAGGGCATCCTGATGCACGTGAAAGTTTAAGAACTGCTGCTTTAAAGCGATGGATGGAATGTTTCAAAGCCACGGTCCCCTTTTCTGGAAACCTTCAGCATCTGCTATACTAGTCTTTTATGAGTACCAACAAGCAGCACAATGAGAGAAGAGCCAAAGGCGACTTACGACAGAGCAGGGTGGTGGGGAAGAGAGCAGGTTCACTGCCTGGATTGGCTTCCTTGGCCTCTGGAGCCTCAGCCTCCCTCATACGAGGGGAAGAGTAGGTACTTACCTTTCCAGGGCCTGGCACAGTGCTAAGTACTCAGTTCTGCTGCTTGTTGTCATTATCATGAAAGCAACTCAGAAAGAGCTGATCACCTCATGGAATCAGCTCAGTTGCTAGCTAGGTTCTTCCAAGGCTGGGATTTTGTCTCACGTGCAGGTAGTAATTTTACACTACTAGCCTTCTTGTTTCTAAGAATTCGCATTTCCCCAAGCTCTGCAGAGAGCCCCCAGGGGCCTGAGACTGATCCTTTGGCCTCCTCTTCGCCTCCCCCACTCAGAACTTGCCTGATGGCCTCAGACATCAGGTGCCGCCCCTTGTTGTCAGCCAGGTGCTCAACACCTGAGTTCTCATTTTGCAGGGAGTAAATGGAACGGCGGGGCAGCCAGTCCTCGAGGGGTGGGTGCTCTTGGAAGAGCAACCCCACCTTAGGCCCCTTCTACCCTGTGGGTCTCCTTTATGGGTCAGGAAAGCCTAGTGACCCCCTGCAGGGCTCTGTAAGGAAAGGGTGTTAAATCATAGGCTCAAAAGGCTATCTTGAGTCAAAAAGTACCAGCAATTATAGATGGAGCTCCAACTTCTATCTCCTCCTCAGTAGGATGGAAGCTCCAGGCGGCCCAGAAGTTTGTCTTATTTCCTGTGTCCCTGCACTGTAAACAGAGCCTGGCATAGTAGACATTATAAGACTTCGGAATGGGCAAACATTTGCTAAACCAGTGGCTCTGTCATTAGAAGGAACAAAAGGTTGCTCTCTGTCAAGAGGAGGAAAACCAAGGTGTGGGTGGAGCCCACTGGGTTCTGGTGAGCACACCAGGCCGGCCGGGTGCTCAGAGCTACACAGTGTGGAAGCCCATGGCGCTGTTTAGCTAGGGCCTTTCCACGAGTTGCATCGTGGGCAGGACTCTTACTGTGACTAGGCAGAGGCCATCTAGGGGGTGAGCCTGAAGACACATTCAAGATGGGGGACTCAGATACCTGAAGTCGGGGAAATGCCGGTCACCACAATCCCATCTGCTCCTTGGCAATTCCCAGCTTTCTCTGAGCTGAACTTAAGCCGGCTTTTTCTAGGCACCTTGCCTGCCCACCAAAGGCCCAGAGGGCCCAGCTGCCCCAGCCTGTGCTCACGAACACAGGGTACAACTAAGCAGCAATGGTGTACGTGTCTCAGCAGTGCCTGGGGTTGGGGGAGTGGGTGCACTACCACCCTTGGGCAAGGGGCTTAATTTTCCAGGTGAGTTCGGACACCCTCGCTGTACCAGAGCAGGCGGTCTGAGGGGAACATACTGAGGAAATAATTTGGTTGCATACAGTTACTAAGGCAGAAATACTCACTACCCTGACAGGCAAGCAGATGAACTTCTTCCTCCCTGAGCATGAAGGTCTGGCTTTTGCTCATATGGATTCCTCCAACACTCGCTACGCCATGGCCACTTCCACCTGCCCCAAACCCATTGAATACCATACTTCTTACTCCCAGCCATTCCCAACCCTGCCCCAGCAGAGAGGCCTTTTTAGTACCCACAGTGCTTATCTATGAGGGGCCTCATGAGGTAATTATTAGTGTGCATCTTTAAGTTTGGAACCTTGAGGGTTTCGCTGAGATTTACTCCCACTTAGAGTTCCAGCCAAAGGACAGAAGTCTTGCCTAGTCCATAGAAGTGGTCAGCATGTACCTGTTTCATAATAATCACTGCCCTCCATCATTTAAAGCTTATTATCAGTTACTCATTGATAGAAATGCCCTCTATTTCTGGGTTTATTATAGTTGCTAAAAGCAGGGATGGTGTTTATCCTTTGGAAGGATGTTGGGAAGCATGAAAAGGCCCTGGTCCAGAAGGCCTGAGTAATTCCTCACTATAGAAACGAGGGAGTGTCTTTTAGCTCCATTAGTTGAGGATTCCATTTTGAGAGAATTCACAAAATGACCAAAGGTTTGCTAAAGAAAAATTCTCCCGGATGTAGGGGTATTTTGCAAACATGCTGAGGACGCATGATCATGAGTTAATTAGAACAGTCTGGTAGTACTTTCGTCAAGGTCCTTTTGGTTCATGTCATAAAAAGTCACTTCAGACTGATTTTGTAGGAATGAGGGCGGGGTCAGTGTGAGTCAGGCGGGCATCCCCAAAGAGTATCAGCAGAGAGAGAGAGGTCAGCTGCTTCAGCAGGTGCTTAGGTACTGGTACTTAAAACAAGGTCGTCTGTAATTGTCTACAATTCAGAGTGACTTTCCCTCCAAATTCCTACCGAACTCGTCACAGCTCCAGAAATGTGCATTACTTACCTTTCATAAAGCTCTACCGAATACTGAAAAACCCAAGTTGAAAAAGTTACAAAAAGTTGCTCCCTGTTTTATTGCTCTTCGCTGGACTTGGTTGACATTTGCTTTTTACTTTCCTCAAATCTTACAGGAGTGAAGACATGGCAAGTTACAAAAGGTACCCCTTTTGCACTAACATCTTTTCCAACAGTTTGCGTTGAGATCAGCAACATGATAAAAATAGATGCTCAACGGATTCCTCGAGCCTATGAAAATCCTGCCGAGGCCTCATATTTTGTGGGCGCACTGCAAAGAGCCTGGAACTCAGTGGTGCTCAAAGTCAGGCTGAATCCAATTCCAATTTTAATGTAAGTACAAGGATCATACTTCTGATCAAATATTAAATTCGCATACAGTATTTATGTATAAATCTGCTTCTGTGTCCCACAGCAGGTGGGGCAGAAGAAAGTAACCAAGTCTTCAACTTGCTATTCTTCTCTTTATAAGAACCTTACGACTACGGACATATCTAGCTCAGAAGCACAAAACGTATACAAAGAAATTACTACATATTAACTGAAAGCACGAGTTTAAACAGCCTAGAGTCTTACAGAAATTGTTATTGCAAAACATGCTCAGGCAGTAAGAGTCACCCAAAACCACATTTTATTCTATGACCTTTATATTGCTTTTCTGTTAAAGGTTGAAGCAAAGTGAAAGAATGGAAATATTTTGTTAAAAGAACAAAATGCGTTAATCACAGCAAATACACCTAATAAAACCTCAGGTCTATGCCGAACACTCCAAACACAAGGCTAAGTCCAGGAGTGGCTCATGTCTGGGTTTTTGTAAAGCAAATGGAAATATTTGGAAGAATCAACACATTTCAGTAGAAGGACCGTAAGTGCCCTGAAAGCAGAAAGTTGACACAATTTTAAATATAATTCTCATATATATATATTTTTAAAATCAAACACAATTAAATAGAATATGGTTTAAGTACATGAATACTTCGCTTTAGAAGAATAACAGAGGTGGTACATAGTACCAAAAACTAATACACAGCCTTTTTGCTTCTTCTGTCGATGAAACAGTGTCCCTCTATACAATCATATATTGCAATGAAATAAATTCTCTATTCATTCAAGACTTTCTCAAGGACAGAGGTGATTAATAATTATATATTTATATATATATATATATAGATCTTTTTTTTTTTTTTTTTTTGCAAAGTCTGAGCAAAAGCAGTAACATCTAAGAGAACGTTCTTCTCCCTCAGTCATGTGCAGTGAAGAGGCATTGGCCTCGCCTGGCCGGTGGAGTGTGCTTGCCAGTGGGGTGGCCCTGCTGATGGCAGCGAGGTCCACACCCACTAGCTGACTGAGTGGGAGTGCAGTGAGGGAGTCTCCTACTCTCCTGAAGACAGAACGAAAAAAGGCCACCAGCTGCACACTTCCCAGCTCACAGCAAAGAAAGGGGAGGCGGTCAAGGCTGAGTATTTTTCCTGCCTCCTCCCACCCCAACCCTTGCTTGCCAATCTTAAAAAAAAAAAAAGAAAAAAAAGAAAAAACAAAACAAAAACCATACAATCTAGGTATAGACATTTGTCCAAGATATCACAGGGGGAAACTGGAGTGATTGTTACTCTTCCTTCTTTTCCACATGTATTCTGAAGGAAAAGTTAAGTAACTTGGAGCAGAGTATTCCAGAAGAGCAAGTCTTCACGCTCAATGTAAAGGAGACTCATCTTTTTGTTTAGCAGGGGAGATGGTTTTCAGTATACTGCATCTCAGGAGCAATTAAAACGTGAAAATTGCATACTGTCACCAAAGGGAAGGACAATGTCACGGAGACTTGACCTGTCGGCTAGCTTCCTTCCATATTAATGCCTCTGTGAAGGAAGACCGCCAGGGAGCCCTGGCCCCGTTCTACTGAAGGAGAACAACCCACTAGCACCGCACCACCGCTCGGAGCTGCCTGGCTCTCGGAGGGGCTGACTCACCTGTGTGTTTAGGAGGCCAAAGCAAAGCACTTCTGGTACCTGCTTTAGGATACTTGGAGGGCTGGGCCACCACTACAGAATGTGCATCAAATATCAGCTCTACGCTCACCTACCTCCCACAGTATGTGGTCCCTGTCTATTCCAGTGGACTAAAACTCTTTCATAAATGGGTTATTGCCATTGGAAAGCTATTAATTTTCTAGTAATGTAAACAATACCACTTTGTCTCTTTATGACTTTCACTGTGAGAGCATCATGTGCAGCAAATATGTCTGCATGTCACTCTGCTTATGATGGAAGTCTAGGATTGTCTGCCATTCTTTCTTGGGAACAACAGTGATATATCAGTGAAAAGAAATACAGTGCTTTGTTTTCATTGGCTGTGTTGAAGAATCCAACCAAAGGAAAAAAAAGTTCTCTTATTTTTCAAAAGCAGATTTCCTTTATCTCAGGTCTTGAGTCATAGCTGAAAAAAAGAAAAAGAAAAGGGTAAGGCACATTTTTATAACCAGTAACATATTATCATTACAGATTAAGAAGGGAACCAACACTCAGTGTTTACTACATACCAGCACTTATGACAGCCAGGCTCTGACTACAATCTTGAGGTAAAACGCTAGAATTATCTTCATTTACATATGAATGAACAGAAGCTTAAGAAGGTCAAGCAACTCACCCTAAGGTTACGTAACAGTAACAACGACTGGCACCCAGATCTGCTTTTATCTTTCCCTTTTGGCAACAGATACTAGAACAAAATAGCTACTCTTTGATAGAGTAATTCTGTTTCTAGGAATTAACCATAGAGCATAGAGTTATACACACACATTCATTCAAGTATTGTTTGTAACAGGGAAAACCCCAAAACAACTTAAATGACAAATCCACAGGGGATTCATTAAATCAGGAGAGCCGTAATACAAAATACTCCAACATCTTTAGAAAGAAAAAAAGAACTTTGATTTCTAGCCACCTAACACCAGGGTCCTGAGGCGGAGACCCTTTATTCACAGCACTGGGGAGGAAACAAACATCCCAGGAGACAAGGTCCTTGGGACCTATACACATGAAACAATTCAGAAATGCTGTGAAGTAGTTTATGTTAAATGCCCAAGTACACTGGTAGTTTATGTTAAATGCCCAAGTACACTGGTAATTTATGGTAAATGCCCAAATACACTGGTAATTTATGTTAAATGCCCAAGTACATTTCACAGACAAGCGTAAAGTAGGACGTTCAAAGCAGAGAGGTTTCAACATGGGCTAGAGAGGCTGGGTATTCTTTCGTGGAAATAGGATGTCTTACGTTCATATAATCATGGAATGAGAATCAGAAGGGGATCTTATGAGACAATCTTGTCCAATTTCTCCAATCTACTGATGAGGAAATAAGACTTGGAAAAGGAAAGTAACTTGCAAAAGGTCACATATGTGCACTACAAGTGGAATGAACAAGTTCTGTTTAGCCTAGCACTTTTTCCACACCAATATGCAGCGGATCCCTGAGGTTGCGCGGGACAGAGATCTTAGGCAGCCAAAGAGAAGGGCCAGCAAAGCTTAAAAACAAAATACAGCAAAATATATCTGTGTATCCTAAAAATAAAAAGCACAGGGTAATAAAATCTGAACAATGAAAAGCCTTAATTTTATTTTAATTTTTTTTAAAGAATTTTTTATTTATTCATTTGAGACAGAGAGAGTAGGAGCAGTGGGGAGGGGCAGAGGAAGAGGGAGAAGCAGACTCCCTGCTGAGCAGGGAGCCTGATGCGGGGCTCGATCCTAGGACCTGGAGATCATGACCTGAGCCGAAGGCAGACACTTAACCATGTGAGCCACCCAGGTGCCCAAGCCTTAATTTTAAATATCTGCTTTCTAAAATGGTGCCTAAAAGGACATTTTCATATTGTTAAACATTTGATCCTCAAAGATAATGGGGAATCACAAATTCATACACCTTTACCTTGCTCTTTGCTACTTTAGGTTTGCCTGAGCCAGTGAAGATAATTATAGATAAAAATTATCACCCTTACACAGAAAAGAGGATAGAATCTGCACAAGTGAACAGAACTTTGGTGTGAATCAGCTCAGTGCAAAGTTCAAAATTAAACCAAGCTCTGGTAATGACAATTCTGAGAAACAGCTGGCAAAGAAAGGGGGATGCTGGGCCTCAATCTAAATGCAAGCCCTCCGAACTACTGTGGGTTATGTGGGATGTCATCTGAACATATTTAATTCTGATTCCCAATTTCTGCTGATGTAAATAAGATATGAGTAGTTTAATGCCTTCATAAGGAACATGAGTTAGAGAAAGTTAAAACTGCTGAGGAAACTGGGAATGTCTGGCTTGAAGAGAGGATCTGTAGTGATGCCCCCTCTTTCAATCCTGGTATTGGTAATTCATCTCATCTCTTCTCCCCCGCCTCCCCCCGCCCCCAGTTAGTTGTGTTAGAGGTTTATCAATTTAATTGGTCTTTTTAAAGAGCCAGATTTTGATTTTTCACTATTATCTATGTAATTGATATTCACCCCCCCTTTTTTTTTAAAAGCCCGCCCAACATAGGGCTTGAACTCATGACCCTGAGATCAAGACCTGAGCTGAGATCAAGAGTTGGATGCTTAATTGACTAAGCCCCAAGTACTCCGGATATTCACTTTTATCTTTAATATTTCCTTCTTTCTTTGAATTTAATTTACTCATTTCCTAGTTTAAGATAGAAGACTGAAAACTATTTTTTGTCTATTTAATATAAACATTTAATGCTATAAATTTCCTTCTAAGGACTGCTTTAGCAGTATTCCACAAATACTGTTGTATTTTCATTTTAATTCAGTCCAAAGTATTTTCTAACTTCCATTTTGATTTCTTCTTTGACCAATGGAAGACTAAGAAGTATGCTGCTTAATTTCCAAATACTTGGGGGATTTTCCACATATCCTTCTGTAATTGACTTCTTGTTTAATTCCTTTGTGGTGAGAAAACAGACTGTATGATTTCAATCCTTATAATTTATTGAAACTTGTTTTATGGCCCAGAATATGGTATATCTTGACAAGTGTTCTATGTGTAGGCCAAAAGAATATGTATTCTGCTGCTCCTGAATGCACTGTTCTATAAATGTCCCTTAGGTCAAGCTGGTTGACAGTGTTATTCTATCCATTACTGAGACAGGGCTGAGGAAATCTTCAACAGTCATTATGGATTTGTGTATTTTCCTTGTAGGTCTATCAGTTTTTGCTTTGTGCGTTTTCAAGCTGTTCTTGGATGCATACACATTTAGGATTCTTGATGTCTTCTTGATGAACTGACCTTTCATATAAAACGTCCTTTTTGCCTGGTAATATTCCTTGTTTTGAAGTGAACTCTGACTTGTAATATAGGCAGGCCAAATTACTTTGATAATGTCTGCATGGTATATCTTTCCCATCCTTTTACTTTTAGCCTATGTCTTTATATTTAAAGTGGGCTTCCTACAGATAGCAACTAAGTAGCTTCTGCCATTAGCTATCTAATCAATCTCTGTTTTTAATTAGACTATTTAGACCACTTACATTTAATGTGGTGATTAATATGATTTCATTTAAACCTACTATCTGGCTATTTGTCTTTCATTTGTCCCACAGGATTCTTTCTCCTCTTTCCCCCCTTTTCTTGAGTTCTTTTGTATTCAGTATTTTTTTTAGGGTGTGGTTTCTATAGATGGCATTTTCTCCTGATTGTGGGTTAAGTTTTTCTGCTTCCTTGCATACCCAGTAATGCAGTGGATGGCAGACACTGTTATTTTTATACTGTTGAGTGCTGAACTTCATTGTGTTCCTTTAAAGAGGGTTGGCCTCTGTTCTGACATGCAGTTGTTACTTAAAGAGCAGTCTGATCCTTTCCAAAAGTTGCTTTTAAGCTTGGTTAAGGTGCTTTACTCTAGGGCCAATTTAGCTCCAGTGGTAAGGCATAATGTTTCTGAGGACACTACCCACTGTCTTGTACATTACAAGATCTATTCCATACTGGTCAGTAGGGATGTGACCTATTCTTAACCCCATGTTTCAGGAATTGCTCAGCCTACTAATTTCAAGTACGTTTTTTCCTCCCCATGGGCATTTTCACCCAAAACATGTATAGATCAGTATTTGGCCAAGGACTTCAAGGGACCTCCATAAGGAGATAAACTCTAGAGCTTTCTTTCTGTGAAGCTCCTTTTCTGGTATCCTGCTCTGACTTCTAGACACCTTGGGCTATCCAAACTTTGATTTCTGACTCCTTAATTCAGCAACACTATGAACTCTGTTAGGCTCTCCCCTCCCTGAACTTTGAAAACTGCTTCTAGGCAGTGAGGTAGGGATCATGTCAATGTTACCCTTCTTTCAAGGATTACAGACCTCTACTTGCCTGTTGTCCACTATCTGGAAATAGTTGTTTCATTTAGTTTGTTAGTTACCTAGTTGTTCATGATGAGAGGTCAGTTTCTAGAGCAGCTAATCCTTCAAAAGCAGAGGAATATCCCTTATGTTCTTTTTTATTTTTATATATCTGGAATCTAATTCTTCTCAGTTTTATGCAAGCTAGATCAGAACACAAGTCATCCTTACCTTTGTAGACTTCTCTAAAGGTTGATCATATTGTGCCTGTTGCATAACATCACTGACTATCATTTTAGCAATCTTCCAAGCTAGCTCTTCTTGGGCCTAAAACAAAACAAAACAAAACAAAAAACCCAATTCAACTGTTGTTAATGGTCATTCATTAGAAAAATCAAGACTTATATTATCAGTGCTCTAACACAACTATATATGCATATCATGTCTACTTCTTTGGATAAGAAGCACATTCCATGTATGAACGGACCTGGACCACCCTCTGGCTACATTAATATGCTGTTCATGCTCTGTCTTCTAGGGTCAGCTACTGGGTACCCAACATCATGACTATTTTCATGTTAGATGATCAAAACAAAAAATTTTTCTTTTTCCACTCCCATCTCTCAATGTACTTAACTAACTAGTCAAAAAGCAAGTCTCTTCTGAAAACTGACAGTGAGGAAGATTTGAGCTTTTTGTTTCTACTGATGCCTGCTGGTTGATGAAAACTTGAAGGCATGGATATTTTTCAGTGGCTAGAGTCTCTGAACTAAAGATCCTGCACTGCCCCCATGAGGCAATCGTTAGATGCTAAAAAGGGCCCGTCCTTTCTTGTTACATCCTGGATAAAGGAGCAATGTGCCACACCATTTAAACAGGGGAACTAAAGAAAGAGAAAACCTGAAACCTTACTTACACAAGGTGCCACTTATAAACAGGAATTTCTTTACACTAAAAGTAGACTTTACCTCGTCAGTATTTCCTTGCACCCATTTCTTCATAGCTTGTGAGAACATGAATCCTAGTAAACAAAACCAAAACTGAATGTAGATTTCTTGCACAATTTTACATTTAAAAAGTGCTCTCATTCAAAAGCTACTTCCGAAATGGATATTCTTTCTTTGTACAATCTCATCTAAAACATTAAGGAATATTACCATTAATCAAAACTGATTATCTCCATTAACAAGTATTTAACTTGCAAACACCATGGTTCAAAAGACTGAAAGGTTGTTTCAGAGTTCTGGACTTTTCTTTCTTTTATTCTCCTCTATCATCTAGTGTTAGATTTTCAGCAAACATTAAGCAAGCAAAAGAAAACTGTGACCAGGATTTGGTCTTAGATAAGAATCCAGCAATACATCAGGAGACATCAATCTACTTGCTATATATCCAAACTTTTCACATCAGCTCCTATACAAAAGGGCTTCCAGTAGATTACATTGTTAATGCTCAACCTCTGGTCTGTATAAATTAGCTGGGTAAGAGCAGAGTTTTAAATAGCCATGTTGTGCCTGAGCCACAGCACACCTCAATCTCCTAGGAAATACACAAAAACCTATCCACATCTGTACTCAGGTGCTGAGGAATCACCAGGACATAGGCTAGTCCCTTTTTCCATGAAGGAAATACACAGCTTATCCTTTCATTAACACAAACAGGCTCCTGTCCTAACTCTGCTTTAAATCAAATGGTTGGTAGATTATTTCTTAGGCAAGGTCCTGATTAATTCAACGGCTGGATTAGAAGTAAAAATAGCATTCATGAAAAGTACAAAACCTGGATCCATTCCCTTACTAATTTTCAGTATTAGCTAAAAGTCTGAATACTGGTCTAGTTAAACTTTATGGCCAAGCAGTCAGCAGGGGCCACAACATTACATGTTCCGCCTAAAGTTGCAAATGGCTGTTGAATTGCCCACTTGCTGCTTCCTCTTCAGGCTCACCCAAAGAGTCACACTGTTGACAGTCTCCTACTTGCTTAACACTCTTTCTCCTTTTCTTTTTAATACCTTACATGTTTGACTCCTGTCTGTGCATTCCTTCCTCCTTTAATAGAGAACTTCTCCAGGACCCCATTCCCCAGCCTTCTTTTCTCCTTCAACATATATTTTTTTGGGTATCTCATCCCCTCCTGTGACTTTAACTTCCTTCCAAATGTAAATAATCAAAAAACCTGTCCTTGGTGTTGAATTCATACTTACAAATTACCCTAAGGTGTCTCAAACTTAATGTGTTCCAAACTGAGCTTGTCTGTTTCCTACCTACTCTTTTTCTTATATCCTCTATTTCAGAAATTTAATCCTTTATTAAAAATTCACATCATAAATTTTCACCCAGAGAACCCATGTTAAAAAACTCAATCCACCTTCTTCATTCACTCCCTATATGAAATCTGTCACCAAATTCCACCTTGAATGCAATCTCGAATTCCCCTTTCGAAGTCTTAGAAACCTGACCTTTCTAATTCCTGCTAGCACTATCTACCTTCAAATCCTCTTCTTCAATCTATATTACTAGCTAATTCTACTACCTGACTGGTTTCTCTGATACCAATTCATTCCTGTACCCACTGCCAGAAAAATGCGTCTAGTTAGTACTCTGCTAATGCTGGGGGGCACCTGGCTGGCTCAGTGGGTGGAGTGTGTGACTCTTGATCTCTGGGCTGTAAGCTTGAGCCCCACATTGGGTATAAAGATTACTTAAAAATAAAATCTAGGGGCACCTGGGTGGCTCAGTAGGTGAAGCATCTGCCTTTGGCTCAGGTCATGATCCCAGGGTCCTGGGATGGAGCCCTGCATGGTGGCTCCCTGCTCCGGGGGAAGTCTGCTGCTCCCTCTCCCCATCTGCCTCCACCCCTCCCCCCCATGCTCTCACTTGCAGGTTCTCTCTGTCTCAATAAATAAATAAATAAATAAATAATCTTAAAAAAGGAAAAAGAAAAAGAATCCCTGGGGCACCTGGGTGGCTCAGTCATTAAGCATCTGCCTTTGGCTCAGGTCATGATCCCAGGGTCCTGGGATGGAGCCCTGCATCGGGCTCCCTGCTCCACGGGAGGCCTGTTTCTCCCTCTCCCACTCCCCCTGCTGTGTTCCCTCTCTCGCTGTCTGTCAAAATAAATAAAATCTAAAAAGAATCCCTGATGCTTACATGACAGGAACCCAGGCTTCTTACTACAACACGCCAGGGCTTTCACAACGTAAGTGCAATTTCGTCTCCCACCACTGTATCCAAGCACTAGGACTAGCCACTACACATGCTCACAACATCTTTTACAATTCCATGTTAGACTTTCTCCTAGAGGATTAGAATGCAACTTTTTTGTTTGGAAAAGATTTATTTTAGAGAGTGAGAGCATGCATGCACGTGCACAAGAGCAGCGGGGAGGGGGGAGAGGGAGAGAGAGAATCTCTAGCAGACTCCCAGCTGAGCATGGAGCCAGACCCAAGGCTTGATCTCATGACCCTGAGATCATGGCCTGAGCGGAAATCAAGAGTTGGAAGCTTAACCAACTGAGCCACTCAGGCACCCCTGAATGTAACTTTTAAAATTACTTTGCTTGCCCTGAAAGCCAAGTTCTCATACTCTCAGAAGCCTCTGAGATACACAGTCTCAAAACTCAACCCTTTCCTCTGTGTGCTATCAGTATTTCAAAACCCAAACTGAAACTATAGGCTAGTAAATGATGAACATTCTTGCAGCTATCCTCAGCAAGGGAGGAGAATGGGAGCTGAATTGTCACAATAGTATTCTGAGCCAAGGCCCCGAGATTGCTATTAATCTGCTCTGTGATCCCTAACAAGTTATAATTTCCCGGATCCTCAACTGCTTCATTTGCAGAATAAGGAGGTAGTGTCCACAGAGGGTGCTAAGAAATCTCCGTTTACTTGGGGTCTGAGAAGGCTTGGGAATAGGGTTCTGTGAGTATCCTCAGAATAATAAAGTAATCTGGATAAGAAAACTGAGTGTGTCAGTTCAAAAAATAATACTTTTCTTAAATTAAATAAATATGATCCATGATCTTACTACCTAATCTCTGCAGAAATTCCTCTAGATTTATTAATTAAATCAACAAATAATTAATGCCTATCATGTGGCAGGCATAATTTCAGAACCAGGGAATACAGTGCCAAATAAGATAGACAAAATCCCTGCTCTCAGAGAGGTGATATACTCATGGAAGAGAAATAGATGATAAATAAGTATGCAAATAAATGAGTAAGATATCAGACCGTGCTAAGAAAATAAAGAAGTAGTATGTTAGTGGTACAGATGAGCGGAGATCATGTGGGCTGGGAAGTCCTCTCTGAACAGAGCATACTTGCCATGAGAACGAGCTCATGAAAGCCATGGCAGGGGGAACAGCAAATGAAGAGGCCCTAACAGAGAAGGAGATTCTAGTTAGACCCTAGTCTGTGAAGCGGAGAGTGGTGCAAGGCAAAGTTGTAGAGGAAGGCAGGGAACATTCACAGGTCACAGCAAAGAGGCATCCAAAGCTATGGGAGAAAAGATAGGGGGGTAATGAAGCAGTAAAGCATGTAGGATAAGAAAAGTCAAAAAGCAGAGGAAAAGGTATAATGAAAAGTCGAAGGCGTCTCCCTCTACTCAGCCTTAAATTATGTTACATGCTTTGTGTATCCTTTCAGGAAATATATATATAGTCTTCTACAAATATCATACACAAGATCACCGACGATGTAGTCTAACCAAAAGGTGTAACTCAAATCGACTTTAGGTACAAATCCCAGTTTATAAGAAACACAGGTAAGAAAGGAATAAGCTGAATAGTATAACCAGGAAAATCCAGAAGGTTGGGCATTTTATAGAATAACTAGCATGACAGGCTTGTGAAGCAGGGTTATAAAAAAGGGACTAAGCTAGATTAAAATAAACTCAGAGTACACCTTCTTATTTGTATCCTTATCATTTAGCATCATCTCTGGCCTTCTGAGTAATGAATCGAATCTGCTGGCTCCCGTATTAGGTCATTTACTTACCACAAAAATACATGACTTAAAGACATGTCTGGACAGCTAAAGGAAGCACTGGGATATGTGGATGCAATTACTCAAACTGCAGAAATTACTATTAATTACTTTATGTAGGCATGTCTCAATTACATTAATAATGCAAGTAACTTGATGGATGAGCCTGCTGGTAGATATATAATCCTGTTGCCTCTACCTTCAAACACAACCCAAGTGTGACCATTCTTCCGTGACCTAAATTACAACCACCACCATCATCCTTTCCTTAGACCATGGCAAGAATGTTGTTTCCCTGCTTCTCCTTTTAACCCCTACATTCTATTTTCCAAACAGCTGCCAAAGCCACACCTTTAAAACCTGAATCACATCCTGGTACTCCCCTGCTCCAACTTCTAACACTTTCAACATCCTACCATGGTCTGTGAGAACCCTCCCAACCTTACTTGCCTCCTCCACTCATCCCTCTGCTCACTCGTCTTCTGCCACACTGGTCTGGCTGCTGCTTGATCATGCTGGACTCTTAAGCTTCTTGTTCTTCTTCCTTCTGCCAAGAACCCCTTCCTGCAGATCTTGCCAGGGCTTACTCCCCCATTTTGCTCAGGTCTCTACTCAAAATGCAACTTCCTCAGTGAGGCCTTTCTTGACAACCATTTCTTTTTTTTTTTAAGTAGGCTTCATGCTCAGTGTGGAGCCCAATGTGGGGCTTGAACTCACGACCCTGAGATCAAGAGTTGGACGCCTAACTGACTGAGCCACTCAGGCACTCCTCCAGACAACCACTTTTATTTTTTTCTTTTAAAGATTTTATGAGTTTATTTATTTTAGGGAGAGAGAACGTGAGCAGGGGGAGGGGGAGAGGGAGAGAGAGAATCCCAAGCAGACTCCACACTGGGCACAGAGCCCGATGTGGGGCTTGATCTTTCAACCCTGAGATCATGACCTGAGTCAAAATCAAGAGTCAGATACTCGGGGCGCTTGGGTGGCTCAGTTGCTGGGCCTTTGGCTCAGGTCATGATCCTGGGGTCCTGGGATCAAGCCCCACATCGGGCTCCCTGCTCCATGGGAAGCCTGCTTCTCCTTCTCCCCCTGCTTGTGTTCCCTCTCTCACTGTCAAATAAATAAATAAATCTTACCAAAAAAAAAAAAAAAAAAAAAGGGAGACGCTTAACCAAATGAGCCATCCAGGTGCCCCTGACAACCACTCTTAAAACAGAACTCCCTACTATTCTGGTACATGCACCCCGATGTTTATAGCAGCAATGTCCACGATAGCCAAACTGTGGAAAGAGCCAAGATGTCCATCAACAGATGAATGGATAAAGAAGATGTGATACACACACACACAATGGAATATTATGCAGCCATCAAAAGGAATGAAATCTTGCTATTTGCAACGATGTGGATGGAACTGGAGAGTGTTGTGCTGAGTGAAATAAGTCAATTAGAGAAAGACATGTATCATATGACCTCACTGATATGAGGAATTCTTAATCTCAGGAAACAAACTGAGGGTTGCTAGAGTGGTGGGGGGTGGGAGGGATGGGGTGGCTGGGTGATAGACATTGGGTAGGGTATGTGCTATGGTGAGCGCTGTGAATTGTACAAGACTGTTGAATCACAGATCTGTACCTCTGAAACAAATAAAACATTATATGTAAAAAAAAGAAGAAGAAGATAGCAGGAGGGGAAGAATGAAGGGGGGGAAATCGGAGGGGGAGATGAACAATGAGAGATGATGGACTCTAAAACAAACTGAGGGTTCTATAGGGGAGGGGGTGGGGGGATGGGTTAGCCTGGTGATGGGTATTAAAGAGGGCACGTTCTGCATGGAGCACTGGGTGTTGTACACAAACAATGAATCATGGAACACTACATCAAAAACTAATGATGTAATGTATGGTGATTAACATAACATAATAAAAAAAAAAAGAACTCCCGACTATTCTTATGTTTTTATATATAAACACACACACACACACACACAGAGTATTTATCTGTTTACTGTCCCTTCCACTATAATGTGAGCTTCACAAGGGCTAGAAATTTCATTTTCTTCTCAGAATTTAGAACCGTAGATGGATAGAGCAGGCACTCATATTTTAGAATAAATGAATAATATGAAGAGACTGAATAAACAGAATAAGCAGAGATAGTGTTTGGGGAAACAAGTTTCTTGTTTATCTTTAGCTACTAACTACATATCTTAATTCCTATATATAAAAAAAAACAAAACCCTGCAAGAACCCACACCTATTACTCTAGAGCAGCAGCACTTCTTCATGAGATGTCAGAGGAAAAAGACCAGCTTTTTAAAAAACTAATGAACTCAGAGGTTCTCTTAATACTGGAGATGTCACTGTCCCGACAGAAGCTACCTGAGGACGATGTAGAGCCCTTCCTGGCCAATCCCCCACAGAGCCTGTCTAGCACTTCCTCTGCTCCAAGGCTACCAGTAACCTCTTCCTCCTATTCATGTTTTACGCAATAAAAGACGCTATTAGACTCTAAGTTTCTTAATGGCAGGATCTGTATCTTCTAATCCACCCAGTGAATATGAGTGCACAGAGGCACTAAGAAATTATTTACTGAATGAACTGTGTAGACTTCTTTCAGTCTTTAAACTTTCCTGACCATGTACTTCAGACTTCTTTGACAAAACAGGAAATAAAATCAATTACTTAAATAAACTAATAAGGTGAAGTAGGTAAAAGGTCCTTTTTTGGTCTAAATTATTTCAACAATTGTTGCACTTTCTGCTTACTCTGTCAATGTATATCTGACCCAAAAACAGACTGCTCATCAACATAAAGTGGTGTGATTCATTACTCAAACAATAGTTGCATTAAAAAAATAAAAATAATATGAGGCACCTGGCTGGCTCAGTCAGTAGAGGAGCATGCAACTCCTGATCCTGGGGTCGTGAGTTTGAGCCCACATACAGTTTACTTAAAAAAAAAAACAAACCTTAAAAATACACATAATAGGAATGCAGTCCTACTAAATTTAGTAGGAAGATTAACAATAGCTCTTAATTTTAAACACACTTATCAAAACAGAACATTTTTTTCTCTAAAAAATTTTTTTAAAGATTTCATTTATTTGAGAGAGAGCAAGAGTGCATGCAGACAAGTGGGGGGGGAGGGGCAGAAGAAGAGGGAGAAGCAGACTCCCTGCCGAGCAGGGAACCTAACGTGAGGGTTGATGCCAGGACCCTGAGATCATGACCTGAGCCAAAGTCAGATGCTTAACCGACTGAGCCACCCAGGTGCCCCTGGAGCATTTTCTTCTTACAAAAGTTAGTATCTTTTACTCAAGACAATACTGTCAATCCAATCACACCGAAAAATTTCTAGATCCCAAATGAATAGATCCGCATTGGTTTCCAAAATCTTCCTGTGTAGACCAATTGTTTGGAAGTTGAGATCAGTCACAAATAACGTTCTTGTCAAAAAAGACTTATATGTTTAACTTTTGCAGTTGACTGAGCACTCTCCTGCTGATTAAACAAAGGATTTGAATTTCAAACTATTAATATTTTCCACAAATATTTCATAATAACTTTTAGCAAATTAGAGGAAATTTAATGAACTAAAGGGTTTCAAGATAAATGCTAAGTCCAACCTGGACTGGGTATTCATCATCTTTAACAGAAAGGTGACAAACATTCTTTCATAAAGATGTGCTTTCTGTAATGGTAAAGCAAGTTCACTAACTTTCATTCAGACAGACTGTATACAGATGCAACTACAAGTAGCCCTCGGACTCAGTTATGATATAAACACAAGTGAGAGATAAGGCAGTTATTTCATAAACTGTTTAAATCTTAAATGATCCTTCACTTACAGTCAATGACTAATGTGAGTGAAGGCTTAACATGGAGTATAAAACACCACACACCTTTTGATTTCTTTACATCAGGTTCAGGCTCAGATTCTCGGATGAACTGCCCCAAGTCACTTACTCTTCCAAATGTCATCTTCCTAAATAAGTACAAAAAGAACATAATTTCTAACAACCAATTTTAAATTAAGGAAAGAAAAATACCCCCCACAAACAAGGAAAGAAAAATTCCATTCTTAAGCATCTCATCTAAATCTAGAAGCTAGAAATACAATGTATAGCTAGCTCATGTTATTCAAAGCAAGGCTTATTTCAAATAGAACTGTCCCCCAAAGAAGCAAAATAATCTTTAATTCAATGTTATTCCATTCAAAATCCCAAAAAGGTTTATGAAACATGATGGGTGAAGAGACAGCTCACAGTTCTAAAATTTACACAGAAGAGAAAAGGCACAAAAATAGCCAAGATAATTTTATAAAAGAGATAAAAAGGTAGGAACCTGCCCTAGATCAAAATGTGTATTATAAAGCTATAGTAATTATATATAATAATTAAACATGCTATAAAGCTATAGCAATAAAAAAAAGTTAAAAGGCAAAGAACACAGTGAAAGATCTTATTTAACAGATATTACTCATCAATAATAAATATTAAAAAACATACAGAATTCCAACAAGTCACTAAGAAATCATACAACAGAAAAACATAAATAGGAGATGAATAGTCAATTCATAAAGAAAAACCTGAACAACCAGCAAAATGCCAAAAGAAGCTTAATCTCATGAGCAGTAGTCCAGATTGGTAAAAAATCAAACATTTGAGGTTATTTAGTGTCAATAAAGATGTGGGGAAAATTAGTATCCTTATTAATGGGGGTAAGAATGCAAAATATACAGATACTTTTAAAGGTAAATCGGTAAGATCTTTAAAATTTAAAATCTGCTTCTTGGTATAAGTGAATAAAAGGAAGTCTTTTACTATTCTGTGTGTAACAGTGAAAAACTGCAAGCAACTTAAATACTCATCAATACCAAAGGGCCAAATAGTGGTCACAGTTATGAGCTATAATTAATATTATATATAGAATACTACAACATAGTTAAAATGATGTAAATCTGTACAGACTAACAAAGAAAAATCTCCAAAACTCATTGTGAGTGAAAGCACAAGATACCGAATAAAGTATGGTATCAATTACACAAATATAAGCAAACAAAAATACATACTATAACATAACAGTGATTATCCTGAGTAGGAAGGGGAGAGAATGAGCACTGGTGTGTGATCAAAGGGGACATTAGCCTTATCTACCAATTTAATTTTTATAAGAGATTAATGTATTTGTAATTAAAAGTTAGGTAGAAAAAGAAACTCTGTGATGCCTATGTATTATTTCACGTTGGGCACAGTGGATCTTATTTTAGGGCTATTGTTCCTAGTAAGTCATCATTTCACATGTGGTTGCAATACACCAATGGATACAAATTTGTCTGCCTTGAGAAAAATTTCAGGAAGATGCCAAAACCATAAAGCTAAAGCAAACACTGAAAACTATCTTTAAACATTATTTCTCTATTTCTGACCCATTTTATTTTATTTTTTTAAAATATTTTATTTATTTATTTGAGGGAGAGAGTGAGAGAGAGAGCATGAGAGGAGAGAGGGTCAGAGGGAGAAGCAGACTCCCCGCTGAGCAGGGAGCCCGATGTGGGACTCGATCCTGGGACTCCAGGATCATGACCTGAGCCGAAGGCAGTCGCTTAACCAATTGAGCCACCCAGGCGCCCTTTCTGACCCATTTTATACATCATCTGTTACATTTATTTTACACACAAAAAAACCTTACAGAAGTAAAACATTTTGCAACTGACAGACTGTCTTAAGTAAGGTTTTAAGTAAATGAACCAACCATTCCCTAATAAATATAATCTTTGGTAATTAAATCGTAGGCTTACTGTCCACCATTTCCTAAAAGAGGAGCTAAAGATTACAACACTGACTCAGCTGCAGTGTGCTTTTTAAAGACAGCGTAGTCAAACAGCCCTATATTTACTTCTGAGTGCTTTCCAGGATTCCTCGGTCTCCCAAGTATCACTGTTACTTTCTGACAAAATCAATTAAACATGTTGAAATCCCTTTTTTATGGTGATGCCAGGACTGCGGTTGGGGTTGGGGTAGGGTAATCAAGAATTTATACAGATTTATAGGCTCATCAAGCCATCTTTAGGAAAGAGGAAGTGATTTTATGATTTGATCTGTGGTAAACATTGGCAAGTGGCATATGCTATGAACTGATGTCTTTTTGTTACAGGATAAAATAAACATCCAATCCTTAAATACAAAGCAATAATTTTATTCCATTTTCAAGTATTCGTTATACAGTCCATAATAAATGATGCTGGCATCTTTGTACTTTATTTTTATTTATGGTTTTAAGACAGACTTTGAAATAGCTAACAAATGAACCAAATGAAATATGGGAAGAGATATAACCTAAAACATATCACATACATATGATACTCATCAACCTTGTCTAGTGTGGTGGAATGATGATGGTAATGATATTTATGGAGTGTTTACTAGATACCCGGCATGGTTTTGAATGCTTTTCATGTACCTCATTTAATCCCCTAAACAACCCAATGAATGAAGTGGAGATGAAAACACCGAGACAGTCTGCCAATGAGTGGCTGAGCCAAGATTAAAACCGAGGAAGTTGCTCCCGAGCCTCCACTCTCAACTGTGGTCTACTTGCATACTATATATAAAAGTGCTGGGTATGTAACAGTAGATTAGAAACAATTTTTAAATTTTAAATAAAAACATAAAAGATGCAAAATTCGGTAGACTTGTACAAATTCCAGACACTAGTTAAACTTACCCTGCGTATGTCCGCTGATACAAAGATTCTGGATCCAGACTTGCAGCATCCACAATTATCGCTTCATCAAAATTTTTCAGAATTTTAACACTGGTTTTTTTCATACTGGACTGCAACAGAAATTGTAAAATTAACAGTATGTTATTCGGGAATCAAACAGTTCCAGGTTTGGATTATGACGGATTTGTACAAAATCTTCAGTATTTGAAATACATGTAATTCTCACTCAACCCCATCATTATGGAGATGCTGAACAGCAACGATTCTGAAATGTAACCTCAATATACAACTACAGGAGGAAAGCATAGTATTACAATGTACAACATATGCATTTAATGCCAAATCTGTTTGTTTTCTTTATGATCTAAGTTCCAACAAACGTGCTATCTTCACAGGCATTACATTCCCAAGTGTGCAAGACTCCCATCCACCCAGACATACATAGCTTAGCTACCTTTTACAAATAAACATGAATACTTTTGATTTTCAGTGAGGCTATGTGACAAAGGAGAAGCCAAAGAAACCCTCCTAAAATGACCAGCCAGATGAGTGTAGGAAGTCCCCCTCCAGCATGTCATCTCCCGCTCCTCATCCCACAAAAAAAGCAAGTCAGAATTGGTGTTTCTATGAAATACTGGAGCCACGGGTTTTCCCAGATATTCCACCTCTAAAAATTAAATTACAGACAGACTCAGTTCCACAAAATGATTAATATACAAGATTATTATTCACTGTAGCATTGTTTAAAATAACAAAAGTTGGGAACTGTCCTTAATATCCATGACTAAGGTATAGGTTAAATTAATAAAATAAAAATTGAATAGACACTTATAGAACATACTCTACAGTGGGTGGGGAGAGGGAGGGGTTCTCTTTATGTGCCAAGAAGGGTAGATAGTTAAAAAGAAAGAGGCAGGGGCACCTGGGTGGCTTAGTCGTTAAGCATCTGCCTTCGGCTCAGGTCATGATCCCAGGGTCCTGGGATCGAGCCCCACATCGGGCTCCCTGCTCGGCAGGAAGCCTGCTTCTCCCTCTCCCACTCCCCTACCTGTGTGCCCTCTGTTGCTGTGTCTCTCTCTCTGTCAAATAAATAAATAAAATCTTAAAAAAAAAAAAGACAGAACACTTCTTTGAGGCCACTGTTAACTCAGATACCAAAACTGGACATCATAAGAAAAGAAAACTAAAGGTCAATCTCTTCTAAGTACAGATCCTAATAAAATACCAGCAAACAAATCTAGCAACATATAAAAATAATTATATATCATGATCAAGTGAGATTTATCCCAGAAATGCAAGGTTGGTTTAACACCTGATAATCAAATAATGTAGTACAACCGTATCAATAAAGTAAAGACCAAAACCCAGATGACCTCATCTTAATTGATACAGAAAGAACATTTGACAAAATCCAACACCCTTTCATGATCCAAAAAAAAAAATCCAACAAATTAGAAATGGAAATTTCCTCAACTTGATAAAAAGCATTTATGAAAAACCCATATGTAACATCATATTAAAAGATGAAAAACTGAAAGCTTTCCTCATGAGGTCAGGAATAAAACAAAGATGCCCACTTTCATCACTTCCATTCAACAATGTACTGCAAGTTTAAGCCAATTAGGCAAGACAAGGAAATAAAAGGTACATTCAAAGTGGACAGGTAGAAAGAAAACTATTTCTATTAACCGATGACACAATCTTATATATAGAAAATTCTAAAGAATCCACAAGAAAGGAGCGCCTGGGTGGCTCAGTTGGTTAAGCTTCTGCCTTTGGCTCAGGTCATGGTCCCAGGGTCCTGGGATTGGGTCCCACATTGGGCTCCCTGCTCAGCGGGAAGTCTGCTTCTCCCACTGCCTCTCCCCCTTGGCTTGTGCTCTCTCTCTCTCACTCACTCTCTTTCTCTCAAATAAATTAAAATTAAAAAAAAAAAGTATCCACAAGAAAACTATTAGAGTTAACAAAAGAGTTTTGTAAAGTTACAAGGTCAACACAAAAAGTTTATTTCTATGCATTACCAATGAATAAGAAAATGAAATTAAGAAAATTTTATTTATAATATCAAAAAGAATATTCAGGAAAAACATGACGCAAGGACATATAAGACTTGTACACTGTAAACCTACAAAACAGTGATGAAAGAAATTAAAGACAGCTTAAATAATGGGATGATATCCCGTGTCCATGGACTGGAAAAAGACTTAATATTGTTAAAATGGCAATACATTCCAAAGGAATCTACAGATTCAATGTAAACCCAATCCTAGAAATCTTATGGAATTGCAAGGGACCCAGAATAGCCAAAATAATCTTACAAATTGAAAAACACAAAGTTGGAGGACACACAGTTCCTGATTTCAAAATTTGCAAAGCTGTAGTAATCAAAACAATGTGGTACTGGCATAAGATACACGTAGATCAACACAAGACTGAGAGTCCAGAAATAAAACCGGTGTATCTAAGAGCAAATGATTTTTGACAAAGATGCCAAGATCATTCAATTTACGTAGAAGAATAGTTTTGTCCATAAATGGTCCTGGGACAACTAGATATCCACATGCAAAAAATAAAGTTGGCCCTTACCTCATACAACATGCAAAACTAAAAATGGATCAAAGGCCTAAAACTCTTAGAAGAAAACACAGGTGGGCATGGGGAGTGACTGCTTAATATTCCATTTGCGAGGTTTCTACTTGGGGTGATGAAAAAGTCTGGAACCAGATAGTGGTAATGGCTGCACAACACTATGAATATACTAAATGTCACTGAATTAGACACTTATAACAGCTAACTTTATGTTAGGTGAATTTTACTGCAATTACAAAAAACTGTATTTCTATATGTTTACAATGAAAATATAAGCGTAAGAAAAAATTCCATTTATAATAGTATCAAAAAGAATAAAATACTTAGAACTTAAGAAATACAGAACTGATACCTGAAAACTACAAAATGTTATTGGAAGAAATTAAAGAAGATCTAAATAAATGAAAGGCATCATCTATGTTCATGGGTCAGAATATTTAATATTGTTAAGATGGCAATTTGTCCCAAATTGATCTATGGAACCAATGCGCTCCCTATCAGAATGCTGGCTGGAGTCTTCATAGAAGTTGACAAACTGATCCTTAAATGCATTTGAAAACTCAAGGGACCTCGAATAGTCAAAACATCTTGAAAAAGAAGAACTAAGTTGGAAGACTCTCCCTTCCTTCCTGATTTCAAAACTTGTTACCCAAGCAAAGGTAATTAAGACAGAGTTAAACAGTTATGATCTGAGCTAACAATTCTACTTCTAGGTATATACACAAGGGAAATGAAAACCTATATCCACACAAAAACTTGTACAGCAGCATTATTCATAATAACCAAAAGAGAGAAACAACCCAAATGTCCATCAACTGATGGATTAACAAAATGTGGTATGTACAATGGAATATTATTTGGCCATAAAAAGGAATAAAGTTGTGGGGTGCCTGGGTGGCTCAGTCAGCTGAGCATCAGACTTTTTTTTTTTAGACACAGTGAGAGAGGGAACACAAACAGGGGGGGCGGGAGAGGGAGAAGCAGGCTTCCGGTGGAGGAGGGAGCCCGAGGTGGGGCTTGATGCCAGCACCCTGGGATCATGACCTGAGCTGAAGGCAGATGCTTAACGACTGAGCCACCCAGGTGCCCCCTGAGTGTTGGACTCTTGATTTTGGCTCAGGTCATGATCTCAGGATCCTAGGACCGGGCCTAGCGTCAAGCTCCCTGCTTAGCAGGGAGTCTGCTTCTCCCTCTCCCTCTGCCCCTCCCCTGGCTCATGCTGTCTCTCTCTCTAAAATAAATAATTTTTTTTAAACCAACAACAAAAATAAAAAAGGAATAAAGTTCTGATACATGCTAAACATGGATGAACCTTGAAAATAGCATGCTAAGTTAAAGAAGCCTGTCTCGAAATCACACATCATATGGTTCCAATTATATGAAATGTGCAGAATAGGCAAATCTATGGAGACAGAAAGTAGATTAGTAGTAGCCTAGGGCTGGAAGAATTGGAGGATTTGGAGGGAATTAGTTAAAGGACACAGGGTTTCTTTCTTAGGTGAAAAACTTTTTAAATTGGCTGTGGTGACAGTTAAGGAACTCTATGAATATACTAAAACCACTAAATTATACAACATAAATGGGGGAATTGTATGGTATGTGAATTATATATCAATAAAGTTGTACCAAAAAGAAAGAAAGAAAGAAAAAAGAGCATATACAGAATGATTTCAATTATATAACTATTCCGAATAGGTAACACTAACCTATACCATCAAAAGTCAGGATAGTAGCTATCCTGGCAGGGAGGACAGTGACTAGAAGAGGGCACAAGAGGGTTTATGACATACTGGTAATGTCATGTTTTTTGATCTGAATGCTGGATACACAGATCAAGTCTGTTTATGAAAATTCTTCAAGCTACATATATTGAGTTTTCCGTATATATATTAAACTTCAACCGAAAATGTAACAATATGTTTTAAGGTCAGCACCTAGACCTTTTAAGTGCTTAAATAACAAGACATTCTAGCCTATATCAAAAAACAAAATGGCAACCACATTCAGCAGGTCACCTGCTACATAAGCTATTTAAATAGGAGGAAAACGTACTAAGGAGAGTCTTGTTGATGGTAATAAATAGTACTGTTGTATAAATTAAGGAAATTTATCCAAGGCCCTGTGTCAAAAAATCTCAAGTATTATTTATGTGTCAACAGTACTTTGAGAAAATAATTATGCTACATTATGGTGAAGAACACTAGACAGAGAATATGTTCTGCCTCTACACTTTACTGTGTGATTTTTAATAAAATTAGTTAACTTCTTAATACCTTCCTAGATCTCTTCTCTCGGGGACAACCCATTTAAATGACCCAATTTGGGGGAGAATCAGATAAGGTTTGATACACGAAAGCACTCCAAAAAACCAAAAAAGATTAAGAAAATATACAAAATGTCACTACAGTTCAAAATGAGACCAAAAACTCTTTGGTGAAATACAATTATTAAGAAAGAATTATTAAGAATTATTCTAGGGGTTGGGCACCTGGGTGGCTCAGTTGGTTAAGCGACTGCCTTTGGCTCAGGTCATGATCCTGGAGTCCCAGGATCGAGTCCCGCATCGGGCTCCCTGCTCAGCGGGGAGTCTGCTTCGCCCTCTGACCCTCCCCTCTCTCATGTGCTCTCTCTCTTTCTCTCTCAAATAAATAAATAAAATCTTAAAAAAAAATTATTCTAGGGGCGCCTGGGTGGCACAGTCGGTTAAGCATCTGACTCTTGGTTTCAGCTCAGGTCATAACCTCAGGGAAGTGAGATCAAGCCTGCTGCGCTCAGTGTGGAGTCTGCTTGGGGTTCTCTCTCCCTTTCTGTCTCTGTCTCACTCTGTCCCTCCCACTCATGCTCAGGCGCTCTTTCTCTCTCTCTAAAATAAATCTTAAAAAAAGAAAAAGAATTATATAAAAAAGCATCCCAGGGGCGCCTGGGTGGCTCAGTCGTTAAGCGTCTGCCTTCGGCTCAGGTCATGATCCCAGGGTCCTGGGATCGAGCCCCGCATAGGGCTCCCTGCTCGGCAGGAAGCCTGCTTCTCCCTCTCCCGCTCCCCCTGCTTGTGTTCCCTCTCTCACTGTCTCCCTGTCTCTCTCTCTGTCAAAATAAATAAATAAAATCTTTAAAAAAAAAAAAAAAGCATCCCAAATGTAGTTACTAAAATTTCCCAAATAATTACACAAAGAGCTCTTCAGAGGCTATAAATGCATGTGGTATTATTGATGACTGATAGCAGTAGCTGGAGTGTCAGGCAGAAAAATGGCCTGAATGAAACAGTACAATACCTTACAGTATAATATACTGTTCACTACAGACATTTTTATTAAAACATATAGTAAGTAGGCTAATTGTATTTTCTTCTTTGTTTCTTCTACAACAAAAACTTCCAAACAGACTCTGCTATTGGTATTTGAAGGAAAGGATCTACTGTACACCTTTCTTCCAATTGGCAGAGGCTAACTGATTTATACCTGAGCAGCCGAGCTGTCGGAACCACCTGGGTGAGAGTCATCAGGAGGGCCAACAGAGCAATGAGCAGTCAGTGAAACATTTCCTCCCAGAAATTCATCTCCTCGAACCGAATGGATGAGATCATTCAAATACTTATAATAAAGATTGCTGGACAAGAAGCCAGGCAAAAAGACCTGAAAGAGAGGATAAGCATTATTTTAAAGGTGAGATCAAATACAATTAAAACTTTATTTGAAAACAAAATTTTACGCACAATTCTACCAGCTAGCACAAATGATTCTGCTTTTCCTTTTTATACTCCAAGTATTATCCCTTTGTGTACACACGCTGTGACTAAAATTATGAGTACAATTTAGAGGTGTGTCCCCCTCCCCCCCAATGCTTGCCATAAAACTATCACATAGACTTGATATTTAGACTTCTTAGTGACCAGAAAACATGCAGGGAGTGAATCTAATCTGAAATTAGATTTTTCTTGTTATAAATATTAAAGTCTTTGTGCATAAATTGATTTTTTTACTTCTGAACTGATTTCCTTAAGATAAATTACCAGGTGCGTGATTATTGAGTTAAACGGTGTGAACATTTTAGCTTTGATATATATGGCCAATTTACTCTTCAGAAGGACGTTGTCAATTTGTATCATTTGCAGTATACTAAGGTAAATGTTTTGACACAGGCTTTCCAACACCAGAGTATGTTTTTCCAAATCATTGTTAAGTAAGTGCCTATTGGGGTGCCTGGGTGGCTCAGCTGGTTAAGTGACTGCCTTTGGCTCAGGTCATGATCCTGGAGTCCCTGGATTACGTTCTGCATCGGGCTCCCTGCTTGGTGGGGAGTCTGCTTCTCCCTCTGATCCTCTCCTCTGTCATGCTCTCTTTCTCTCTCATTCTCTCTCTCTCAAATAAAATCTTTTTTAAAAAGAGCCCAATGATATATGGATGTTTTTATTTCCATTTAAAAATTACTAATGATGCTGAATAAGTTCCCATGTTTATTACTGGCATTTCCTATTACCAACTTCTCCTTCACAGCAGTTAGTACATGACTGTAAATAGTATGTGTTGTTAAACATGTTCCTTCTTTATAGACAGAGCTCCAGGAGGGCAGAAACCACGTTTCTCCTGTTTACCACTACAACACCAATACCTAGCACAGAAATTCTCAAAGTACTGATCATCCATGTCTTTTTCTCATTTATCTACTTGATACTATTAAAATTACTAAGTTCTTTACATATACACATTTTATAAGAAATATTTACATTCTGTTTATCTCTGTATTTTCATTTTCTTTTTTATCCAGAAAGTTTACATTCTTTATATGATACAGATTTGGAACTTCTCTTAATTTAAGATCAGAAAGATTTTAATTTTAATCATGAAAAAATTTTTATCCCTGGGCAATAGCTGATACTCTATTCAGCTTACCATGAACTTTTTAATGATTTGATTTTTATATGTAACTCTTCCATGTTCCTGAAATTCAGTTATGTGGAGTATTATTTAATAGTGCTTACTTAACCCTTTTCCACCTAGAAACACATGACATATATAAACGACATAACCTCATGGACTTATCCTGCGCTCTGTGCAATTCCTGGTCAAATTTGCTCTAGTTCATTAGAGGAATAAATCATTCACAAATTCTAACACATTATTATTAATAAGCTATTAGTGATACCCCAGAAGTTATGATACACAAAACCAGTGTTCTAACCCCACTGATAGATACTGATGAAGTGTTTGGGTCATTTTAAGCTAACTTTGCCCAATACTGCTATCTAATTATTTTTTGAAAATTATTAGTTATAGTGGTAAAAACAGCCGTTAAAATTTTTTAATGCTTACTATGTGATGGATGCAATGCTAATAATAAGAACTTTATACATCTTACCTCATTTTTATCTTTAAAATAACTTTTAGGTAAGTATCCATATTATCTCCATTTTACAGATGTGGAAAATGGCATTAAAGAATTTCAGTAAGTGCCTGAGGTCATTCAGTCTATAAAGGCTAAATTAATACATACCAAGTCAGACTGAAAGCCTCTGTTCTTAATCACTATGCTCCACCGCTTCAATTTTCCAGTTTTGTTACCTTTTTTCCCCCCGTGTTATGTTTTCTGGGTTTCACCAGTAAAGACTTCTTGCAGTTTAATATTTTTGAAGTTCTTGGTTACCTTCTCCATGGTCGTCCAGGCCTGACGTAATGGAGTTGTGAAACAGTTAGGGAGTGGCCCACCTTCCCTGCAGATATTGGATTCAATTTCTAATCGCACAACATCATCAAATCCAAGAGGATGTGTGGCTTGGAGGGAGAAGTACCTATGGTAAAAGACAGCCAAAGTCAAACCAAACCTCCTAGCCAGTATAAGCAACTTTTGGCACCTACTCTTCTACGAGGCTACTTGATTCAGCCTGCAGATCTAGGACTCGAGAGCCGGTTCCTAGAGGCCGTGCTGCAACCTTTATTCCCATAGCCCCAAAGGTATCTGAGTCAACTTGCTACCTTCCTATCTCCTTCCATCTTCCTTAGTTCTTAAGATTGCTGAGGGTCAGGCTACAGCTGAGACAAATCAATTAATCACACAAATTTAATGGGCACCTATTCTCTGTTCAGCACTTGGGAGACAGAAATGGACTTAAAAGAGGGTAAGACACAGTTCTTTCCCCTGGAAAGGGAACAGAAAAGATCCCTTTATCAGACACAATGAGAACAAATAGCTGTAACTATGAGGTACAGGTAATACACATGCAGGAACTTAAAATACAATAGCACCGAGGGTGAAGTAGATGGATTTCATGTATTTGGATAGAATAACAGGACTTGATGAAGATTGGGTGCAGAAAGGAAAAGGAGTAATCAATGCTACCTCAGATTTCTAACTTCATAAGCTATAATGCAAAACCAGTGTTTTGGTAAGCTGATTATAAAGTGGATAACAAAGAAAGGAGGATTAAAAGCAAAAAATATATGTATGTTCTCTTCCAAGCATTTAGGGACTTCTAAATCTTGTCTATGATACAAATACAGAAAGACTGATTAGGTATGATTGTGATGATACATACATAACATACATAAAGATATAAAAACAAACAGGGATGGAGGGGCCTGGGTGGCTCAGTCAGTTGAGCGTCCAACTCTTGATTTCAGCTCAGGTCCTGACCTTAGGGTCATGAGATAGAACCCTGTGTCGGGCTCCATGTTCAGCGGGGAATCTGCTTGAGAGTCTCGATTCTCTCCCTCTCCCTCTGCCCCTCCCCTGCCTCATGCGCTCACTCTCTCTCAAGTAAATAAATAAATAAATCAATCTTTTAAAAAAAACCCCAAACTGGCATCAGTGAAGTCAAATTTGGCACAATGAACTTGACAAAATGACAGTGCCAGTGGGATGCCATACAGTGATCTTCATCTAAAAATGGCTCCCAATGTGAAAATGGGATCCAGTGGGACAACAGGGTCTCTGCTCTGTGTGGCAACTGAGCTCCAGCCAGGACCTTACTACTAGTGCCACTCTTCTGTTCCAGCATTAAAATAAAAAAAATATTTTTTTGTTATTAGACTTTTCTTAACAAATAGTCTCCCATCTTGTAACAAATAAGTTGGTAAATACTCCTCCATGATTGGAATTTTGGGGCATCCCACACCAAATTTCTAAATGTAAACACTTGCTATTTCAACATTCATGTAACAATGTTTCTTATATAATATTTTCCACAAATATATACTAAAATAAACACTGGGCAAACATTGAGAATTGCATTCCAGCTCAAGTTCTGCCACTAACTTGCCCTGTGACTTTGAGAGAATGGGTCTTTGTTTTATCTGCAAAATGGGAAAATCAGACTAGATCCTGAATCTGGCTACCCATCAGCATCATTTGGGGTATCTTCTAAAAATAAAGATTCCTGGGTCATGCCTCAAATGTGCTGAATCAGAATCTCTTAGAGTGGAATGCTGGAAACCTATTTTTAACAAGCACCCAGCTGGTTCTTACACAGACAGCCCAGCACGGACCTGCAGAGCAATGCTCAGGAACCACCGACCCAGATGCACTCAGCTCTCTTGCAACCCTAACTAACATCCCATGGATTTTCCTCTACTGTCAAGTTATCTTCTCAGCGGTTGCTTGTGGATACAAATAGCACATTACTTTTCTTTACAGAATAAGAAAAATTAAATGAAAATTAAAAGAGAGGCACAGCTGGCCATGGGCTTATCACTCAACTGACCAGATGTTTTCAGTTCTGTTCACTGTAAGATTTTGCCGTCCTCTCATTTTCAATGAAGACCAATGAAAAACTATTATTCATTGAGTACTGGCCATGCAGATCTGCACCAGAAATATGATACACCCATACACAGATATCTAAGACCCTTTTCAATATATTCCCTTTAGTTTCATCTTCCTCTTACATTCCCTACCCAAGTTTTACTTACCCAAACTCAAGTTTCCTAAAAGTGCCACATTCCCCTGAGTTTCTCTGACTTTGCTTGTGTCAAGCAAGAATGTTCTTTCCCGCCTTCTCTGGCTAGCAAAATTCATTATTCAGGATCCAATTCTAATCTTTCTTCTGTGAAATCCTCCCTGAACTCCACCACCGTCATCCTTCTTGCCACACACAAATCTCCCGTTCCCCCAGAAGAAATGTTTGTTCTAAGAATCCTAAAACCTTATACACACTGTATAAAAAGCGGCTTTTATGCTACTCCCTGTGAGCTCCTTGACAGCAGACTGGATTTGTTCATCTTTATTTCCGAAATACATATCAAATACTCAATTAACATTTGCCAGATGTTGAATACATCAATAAAACTCACTTGTCATACAAAATCATGGCATCGTTCTGTGCCTCCTGTCCATCATACTGGCCCTTTTTGGCAGCAAGTTGCGACTGGAAGTTATCTGCTGCCAACCAGAACTGTAAGATATTCACTGCATCCTCTTTTTCCATGTACTAGGAAGGAAAAATACAAAAAAAAAAAAGGAAAAAAGACTATAAACATATTTCTCTAACCATCTCTAATCCATAAGCCCAACCATTAAAAATATAAGACATACACAAAAAACAAAAACAAAAACAGATCCACTTGTTCAGTTCATGCCAGGTAGCAACTCACAGTTGCTTTTGAGACTGAAAAGTTGAAAGCCATTCTTGTAGGGGAAAAAAACCAAAAAACTAACAAAAACCCCACCACATTGCTGGATACAAACTTAAGTGAACTGGAATAAGAATCACAGTAAAGATGATTAGTGGTCCCTCAGTAGCTAACATACAAAAAGTAAACTAACCAGACCAAATCTTTTATACCTGATCATTTCCATCACTCCATGCAGCCTCAGTAACCTGAATAAATGGCGGACTTACACGTAGGTAGGGCAAAGAGAGGGAGTGAGAAAGCAAATCAACGGAAAGCTCTATTCTTGGGAGAGGCAGAGTGCAAATGTGTATCTAAGTTAGTGCTTTGTGAGCCTGGAAATCCTCCCCTCTCTACTTAATAGTCATTTGCTTTGCAACAAAAGAATTTCATTTGCC